AAGACAAAACTATAAATTCTCACCATCAAAAGTATTTACTCCTTTCATGGAAGGGGTTAATATACACTGAGACCCAGATCTTCCATGAGGAGGGGGAACCTAAATACTTTGATGATCTGGGCCTGAGCTATTAAAACATTAAATTCAGGTATTGTATGTACATTTCATCATAGTCATTGACTATCAAATTTTTTACGTTCTGTACAAGGCACTTGAATCATTTTAGGGTGAAGTATACAACATTTGCAGTTTTGGATCTCAAGCAGTTAAAAAAAATTGTAGATACCACCTTAGTAGTACAGTTATTTACATTTCTTGTTGATGCTTGTATGGTCTAAATTTGATTACTTAATGCTGTTTTAAGAAAAAAGCAAACATTTTTACTTATTTTGTTCGGTAAATAATACAATACTGTATTTTCTGTATTCTTTTATTTTGTGTAACACTTATTTTCATCTGTTTTAAATCATCTAGCGTGAGATTGAAACTGTTCAAAACCTAACTGGTATTAATCTGAAAGTACTAACAAACACATTGTCTTGATGCCTGGTAAAAAGCCTGTGGCGAGTATGCATTTCAATTTGCGTGGGTCTGCTGAGCCCTGTTTCTAATAGGCTGGAATTAAATTGCAGGCTGTTAATTCCAATAGCAATAACCAAATGTATGCACATATATATCTGGTGACACTCATTTTTATTAAATAAAAAGGTATCAGTGCACATCATTTAGACACGTATTTGGTGTGCAATACTTATGATTAGTTTTTCTAGGAGTCTTGGAAGTCATCAGCTAGGGTTCATTGGCCAAATGAAGCAATTGTAGAGCTTCCATTTGAAGCATGCTGGAATCCTGTTCGAAACAATTTCTGTTTCAGAGCACATCTTGGCAAATTATACAAAGAAATTTACAAAAATCTACACAGTACTGCACAAAGTTCAAGGAATATTTCCTATAAGTAAAGAAGATTTATATTATTATGGGTTAACAGGTCTGCACTTTGGCCGAGTTACTCATGTTTTTCACATCTTTACCCATGTATGTAATACATGTCATGCAATGGAGCTGACAGAATGTTTGTAACGTGATTAGACAAACACAACAACAATATTAAAATCCAATATTTTGATTACTTTTTTTTTTTAAGGCCCACTTGCACAGCTGAAGGATGTTTGTTAGTATTTGCAAACTAACATAAATTTCATAATCCTTCGTAAAATAGTAGCAATTCTTTTTTTCACTCTTTGTCCACCCCTCATAATTTGGTGGCAGATTTCACTGGGGAGCATCATAGTGTACTTCTTTTGATTTCTGCCATGATGTTATATGCTATGGATTATAACATGATGAGTTGCTGGGTTTATTTAATGAGACTGATGGGCATATACTTATGTCTGATAAGAACTGGTATCTGAAGAGAAAACCTCCTGCATACTAATGGATGTATAGTATCTCATTGGTGTCTGCTTTGATATATTCTGTGGTATGGTCTATTTATCCCAGTAGGCAAAAGTTAATTAAGTAATCTGTTGCTGTTTTGTAATTCCATCTGGTTTTCTAATTTTTTAATAATTAAAATTGCCACATTAAAAATTATACAAATATTAATCTATAGGTGTGATGAAATATGGGAATTAACTGAGAATGTTTATCATTTTATAAAGCACCAGGTTAATTGATCCAGATCAAAAAAGTGTCGTGTAACCCCCTCTCAGAGATCCAGTTGAAATGTTATTCAGCAATTCATAAAGAAATTTCCATGCAGGTCTCTGAAACAGTGCCTTCACTAGCATTCCCACTGGTGCTTCATTTGAAAGTAATTCAGAATATTTCATTTCTTTAAATGCTTACTTAGAGAGTTATTTATTCTAACAGTTATTTTAACTCTTGAATTTTCCTGTACATTTGTTTATCTAATGCATGTAATGATTGCAAGATCTCACAAAATTATCTTATTATTTTCCATTTTAGTGTTAAACATTCCATAACACCTAACACTGTCAGTGCTATGCTTCAGCTCATCCTGTTTCACAGAAAAAAAGGAAGAATTGATTCAGAGCACATTACTAAGTAGTTCTTTAAATCTCAGTAAGATGAAACAATAAATCAGATACGTGTATCACACACAGAGGCTGTTGAAAAAAGATCCTTACATTTGCAAAATTGTAGTCAGAAAATAAGAAACTCTGAAACTTTAGAAGAACTGGAATTTAATTTCACTCCCATGTGCATACATATAATGATGTGGACTTATTTAATTGCCTGCTATATTTCTCAGTGCACTCTATAATGCATTGGACATAGAGAAAGCAGGCTGTTTGTAAGAAGCAGCTATTCCATATTTTTCTCCTTCTTCATCAAATTTTGTTGCACTTTGTTACATACTGTCCAAACCCTGCTTGGAAGGCCTTTTTTTTCTCTTTTTTTTTTTTTTCCCCATGGACTTTTCTTCCTTATTCATCATCATTATACTTGAGGGATACATGTATCTTGATATATTTGTGTTCTGAGCATTCCTGTGAAGGGAGACAGTTTTCCAGAGAAGACCAACCTGAAATGGCTCTTCCCTTTCTTGTAATTGCCTTCCTCAATCTCAACAGCTTCTGCTACAAATGACATAGATGTCTTGTAAGTAACAGCCTCCTTCATTGTGCCATTATAATTTGGCTTCAGATCATTTTCTGCAAATAATGTGTGTGATGGAATTCTGGGGAAAAATAATACATGATTGTATTTCGAAAAATTGTGGAAACCAATTTAAATTTTCACAAGCTGAACAGAATATTTGGCTGTGCAAACTCAACCATTATCCCTTTGTCAACAGAGTTCAAACCATAAAACTCACTAGACAAGTATCTGAGCCAGCTGAATAGTTGAATCACTAGTTTGCCATCCAACCATGGCCAGTAATGGAAAATGAAGTGGTGAGCCAGTGTACCAATGCGCAGGGAAGAGATTTTCTGAAAGGGACAAATGAGATATTACTTTTACCCAGAGCAGCCAATATCTTTATGACTGGAGCACTGATAAAATATTCAAGTGCGTGGACTGATTTGGCTTGATGTAGACAATATCATCATCATAAAACTGGCCCTTAACTATCATTTAATTGTCAAATCTTAGAGGAATTTCTTGACATTTTAATTTTTTTATGGCGATGAAAACAGTTGAGGATGCCAAGTGGAGTAAATTATCTTTCTGGTAGGAAGAGCAGCTCATTTCCTGACAGAGTTCTCTCCTGAGTGGAGTAGGTGCTCCCTTGTACGTAGCTCATTTCAGCAGGTCTCATGCTGTCTCCACGGTCTTACTCAGGACATTTTTCACACTTTTCAACGCAATTCTCTGTCTCTTGCAAAATTTTTCAATACTTATCTCCTGCCTCACTTTTTTATTCTTGTCCTTGGTTCTTCTCCACCTCTGCTCTAACTCCACATTCTCACTACTTTGCTTTCTTTCGCCCCTCTAAGCCTTGAATTACATGCCAAAATGACGATTTTCAGTATAACTCAAAATAAGTCTCAATCTGAAGAAAGCTCCTCTTGATTTTTCTTCAGTATGTGTGTTCTGGTTAACACAGCTATCTGAAGGTAGATTTTCCTATTATTGACTGGATTCTGTCCACAGGAATTAGCAAACAAAATTCTTAATCTCTTGGAAACTTTTTGTTTAGACATTTTGATTGGACAAGCTACTCGTTTCTTCAGCGGAAAACTTGTCCCAGATAATTTTTTTGAAGCAGCAAAGGGACTTTAAAAGCAGGCCTCAAGACATTACTCTTAATTACATTCATTTAACTAAGCAGATATTTTTGCCCAATTAATTAATACAGACGCCTGTTTCCTCTGTTGTCTCTCTGGGAAGATAGCGTTTAGGGATATTAATTAAACTCTTCCAATGCAGTTTGCATTATTTCCTTTGGAGTAGCTCTTACCCGAAAAACAAAAAGACCATTTTGTTAATCTCTAATGTTAGTTTGAAAGAGACTTAATTTATTGACTGCTTGGGTAGCACAAAG